CTTATGAATTTTTGACTTCCCAAAGATGCTTTAAAATTCTAAGCCTGGCACTTGGTACTATGACTTTATTTGGAAATAAGGCCTTTTAAGAAGTGAATAAATGAAATGAAAATTCCAACCAATAACTTGTGTTCTTGTAGGAAAAGAGACATTCGAATATAAACACACAGGGAGAATATGATTTGACAGTAGAGGCAGCACTTGGAGTGCTGTGACCAAAAGCCAGGGGTCATGAAAGCCTGCTGCTGAGCCATAGGTGTTAGAAGAAGAAAGGAATGTTCCTTCCTTCCCTCAAGCTTTCTGAGGAGTGGAGGGATGGCTTTGCTGACACTTGAACTTCTGTTTCTAGAACTGTAGGGTAATACATTTTTAATTTTTTAAAAAGGCCATTCAGTTTGTGGTATAGTACCTTGTTTTGGAAGCCCCAGGAAACTAACAGAATATCCTGGCTCAGGTTTTGGAATTGGGTACCATTTGGGTAGACACGGGAAAGGTGGTGAGGCACACGACATAAAAGCTCTAGAGGAACTTAGTGAGACTTGGGTAGCAATATAGATTGGATGCTGGAAAAGACAAGAGAATTGTGTAAAACATATGTTTGTTTTGGAGAATGCATATGTCATCGTGAGCTGAATTTTATTAGAAACATGGACTTCATGGGTGAGATCTTAAAGGAATGAAAATTACAATAACTGACACCGAGGAAAAGCTAACACTTTGTTAAGAGTGTCAAAGACTTGCTGGATTGTGATGAATGGTTGAGGAGGTGGCTCAGTGGTTAAAGAGCACTTGTTGCTCTTGCAGAGGACTTCAAGTTCAGTTCTCAGCACCTATATAGCAGCTTACAACCGTATGTGATTCCAGTTCCAGGGGATCTGGCACACTTTTCTGGCCTCTGCAGGCACAAGACATGCACACAGTGCTTATACATACATTCAAGAAATACACTCATATGCATAACATACAATAAATCTTGACTTATCCCATATCAGCAACAACCACAGAAAAAGAAAGAGAAAGAGAAGGCAGTGGCAACAGCTGAGTAGCTTCAGCACTAACATTGAACAGTTGACAGGATAAGCTGCAAAGTGGTGTGATCTCAGAGAGGCCAGCAGCTTTACAACTGGAGAGGCAGATAAACAGTGGAGAGTGACAGGCAGACTGAGCCACAGAAGTGGTACAGTGGCTGGCCAAGGCTTGAACAACTCCAGGAGAGAGCTGTTGGAACTGCTGGAGGCCTTTACAGCTGCAACAGTGGAGTTGCAGGAGTGGCCAAACAAAACAACAAAAACAGTATAACAAAGCAGTGGTGGAAGAAGGAGCCAACAGCAGAGCTGTAGCAGAGATGGCCATGGTAATCATAGCCTAAAGGGCTATGATGGCTAATCTTGGCTGTCAACTACATCTGGAATCAACCGAAACCCATGTAACTGGGCACATTGTTGACTTTTCTTGACTAGATCATTTGAAGTGGGAAGATCTACCCCGGATCTTGGTCACATCTTCTGATGATAACTTATATAAAATGGACAAGGAAGAAGGAAGCTTTTGCATTTTTCTGGCTTGCCTTTGCCTACACTACTAGCAAGTTCATCTGTCCTGTTGCTGAGTCATTCCTTCACTGGTATTAGAACCTACTTCTCAGGATTCTAACATAGCCTTAAGCCCAGCAGCTTTCTAAGACTCCAGCACCAGATTGGGACTCCCAGCACATCCAGTTTCATGGACTGAACAACTACTGGATCCTTGGCCTTTTTGTTGGAAGACATCTATTGTTGGACTACTTGAACCATAGCCTGTAGGCCATTCTAATAAACAAATGTGTGCATGAGTGTACGTGCACAAACACAAACACAGTCTCCCTCCCTTCCTGCCTTCTCTCCTTCTCTCCCCCGGACCCCCCACCTCTAGCTCTGTTACTCTAGAGAGCCCTGATTAATACATAGGCCAAATTTCTTAAGACACCCCGGGCCTTGGCACTATAAAACTATCAAGAGCTGACTTCCTAGGCCTACATAAAAGCTGTCACACTTGTCACTGTATGGTTAAGAGACCTGGTGTGCTTGCCTAAGACTTTCATCAGAGCTGTGACACTAGGAGGCACTACCTGCTGTTACTTCAGGTTGTCTGTTGTTGTTTACAGCTGTCTAATGCCAAGAGATTCAGAAGCTTCCCATCAAGTGCACTAGAAGAGTCTGCCTTTTCTCCCCATGGCTTCTGTCTGTGTAGAGCAAAGCACTCCAACCATCTGACTATTACTGAGTGATTAGGTAGCTGAGTGACTCAGGATCCACAGCCCTTCTGTTGCTTTTCTGTCTTCTGTAGATGCTGAAGGTACTGGCTGCTTTCTAGTCCCACCACTTCTTAGACTTGATTCTTACCATCCCAATGACCCTTTTAAGCATTTTATTTTGGGGAGAATGCCAATGAAACATTTTGTTATTTTTTAGACCAGACACCAACTAAGGGCCAGACTTTCATTCAGACATTTTTTTCAAACTACCTACCTACCTACCTACCTACCTACCTACCTACCTACCTAATGAATTAACTTTACATCCTGATCTCAATTCCCCTCCTCTATCCTCCAGCCCCCCCTCCCTCCCTAGAAAATGGGAAGACTCCCATGGATGATAACCCACCTTGGCATATCAAATTGTAGTAGGACTAGGCACATTTTCTTCTATTATGGCTACTCAAGGCATTCCAGTCAGGGGAAAGGAATCCAAAGGCAGGCAACAGAGTCAGAGTTAGTCCCTGCTCCTGCTGTTAGGAATCCCACATGAAGACCAGGCTGCACAAGTGCTACATACATACTTGTAAAAGAGAGAGCAGAATGCCAAATGGCTCTGAGATTCAGAAGGTTTGAAGGGCTTAACCAACAGAATTTAAGTCCTGAATGAAACAGTGGATCATATACTTCAGTACAGAATAGCAGAAATATTCCAGGTTGTGGAGTTGCTTTAAAAAGATGATTAAGGCAACTACAGCAGTAAAAAATTTCAAAAAAGGCCAGGTGTGGTGGCTTATACTTTTAATCCTAGCACTTGGGAGGCAGAAGCAGGCAGAGCTCCATGAGTTTGAGAATAGTTTGATCAGGGTTTCCCTTCCTCAAAACTAAAACAGAGCAACAAAAATATGTTTTGAGTGAACATTTTTAGTCAGAAAAGGCTCAGAGTCTGGCTCATAACTGTCAGTTTCCTGTCTACAACTTACTAAGCATTGTTGACATAGGATTCTAATGCTTTTGAAATCTTAAGTTGTTCGCTGTTCAAAAGGATGGCCACAGTACTTCTCAACAAACTTAATATTGACATTGTAAATGGGTCATAATTCTTTAAAATGCTTTTCATTAGTAACTTAAATTGTTTTTATTTGTTATTTATTTGGCCTCAATTTTATTGCACTAAAAATGACCTTAATGTAAGTATAAACACATACAAAAATCTTGGTCTTGTGACTAAATGTGATGTGCTTAATTCCTTTCTAATCTGAATTGTTTTCTCCTAACATTTTTTCTTCATAGTATAAGAACTATATATCAAACATGTTGAGCCTTAGAAGATAATGTGTGCCCTTTACTTTCCCTATGCTTCCCTGGCAACCCTCAACACATACCTACCCATACTGCCGAGTAATCAGTAACCTGACAAATACAGTAGACACCAGGGATAGGGATTGGCTCGGTATTCATGGTGCCTGCTTAGCTACACAAAAGCCCTGAGTTCAATCCCTAACACCATATAAGCCAGACGTGTGATGATGGTACACACTTGTACCCTCAGCATTTAGTAAGCTAGAGACAGTAGGATTAGAACTTCAAGGTCATCCTGTGGCTACATAGTGAGTTCAAGGCCCATCTGGGATGTATAAAACCCTGTATCCAAAATAGGGAGGGCAGCCAGTATTCACAGTTAAAGTGAATTCCCCACTGGGATACTGCAAAAGAAGTGGTGCAATTAGATGAGACAACACCATTTATTTTTAAAAGAACCTTAACTAAAGCAAAAACAGTTCTTAAGACATGAGTCCTATCAAGTAATACAGCTTTAACAACTTGTATTGGGAATATCTTTATAGGAAATAAATACTTTTTTTTTAAAAGAAAGATCATATCTTCAGGTGACTGTAGAGGTCCAGAGTTCATCAGTTTTCAGTTGTTGAGGCTTCTTTCATCTTCTTTCTGGCTAGTGTAGGCTTCTGAGAGTAGAGCACTTTAGCACTTTAAGAAGTATTTCAAACAGCATGAGCCCTGAAAGTAACTGCCCAGGGCAGTGTGCTGGACATGCCATTCTAAGTAGTAAATGTGGCATCTTTTACCCAGACTAAAATCCATTATGAAGAGTTGGTCTTAGCACCTCAACTGAGCATCTTTTTTTTTCTTCCTTTTAGGTCTTTCTTCTCAGGGCTAATTCCTTGATTTTCTACATTATCACATCTCTCCTAAGAGAGAGAAACCTTTGTATTTGGTCTGGAGGGTGATCTATGATAGCCATATTTTGGGTCTCAAGTGAGTGAGTTTATGAAGCATGTGGAAAGCAAAAGTACAAAAATAGCAAGTAGCAAAGAGCAGCAGCAGAGATAGGCAAACAGCATTATATCAGGTGCAGCATCAGCAGAGGCATGGAAACTTGACAGAGAAAAAACAAAGTAACTCAAATAAGACACACACAGTAGCCAGCAGAAATAACTGTAGTAACCTCTGTTAGCAATAGATACCTTCTCATTCTCCTCAAGGGTGCAATACTTTCAATGCACTTAGCTGCATGAAGTCAAAAACTACTTGTAGAATGAATCTCATAGGGGATGCCACAGCCTGAAAAAGCACTGCTTTATACAGTATGAGGTAACTTAAGAGTAGAGCCTAGCCTGATCTCCACAGTGCTGAGTTGTATGACTTGTTCTATTCCTTTCCTGTAGCTCAACCCAGAACTAAATGTTCATCAACTCAATATTAAGTTTTGTCTACTCATCCAGTTTCTCTTTTGTTTTTCTAGGATTATCTCTGACTCACTGCACTGGATTTGGTAAAAGCATCTCAGAAGTGGGTGTGCTTTTCTGAATGAAATGATCAATGGTAACTTAATTGTCACTTTCAATATTGGTTATCTTTATAAAGAAAAAGAAACAAAATTTTGTTTTAAGAACCTCTCAGTCATACTAGAAACAATTTTTAAAAGTCATCAAACATTGTTTGGATGCATTTTTTCACTTTTGTAGATTAGAACTGGTGATTATTGGGTATAAATTAATAAATATTTAACCCTACTTATTTGTGAACTAAAGTAATATAATTTATGTATGTTTCTTTAAAGAGAACAAATCTTTGAATTTGAATTTTTCACATATTTATTTGGTGGGCTGCCAAGTATTAGGTATGGCATATTTAAACCCTGATGTTAAATAAGAAATTAGGTCTCTGCTTACCAAGGAATATTTAGAACTTAACTGGCAGAATCCCAAGGGAAATTAGTTTTGGCATTAATTAAAAAGAGCTGTTGAACATATTTTTAACTATATAGTTGGAAGGACAGAGGACTGTCATTATCAGAGGTACTTAGCACACAGCTCAGCATCTCAGCTCTGCCTCTGGGAGTGCTCCTCAGTGCTCCGCAGGGGAGTCCTTTGCCAAACTATCAGCTGGAAGGCTTCTGTTAGCTTCCTTCTATAAACAAAGATATTTTCTTCTGTTTAAGGTAGAATTTCCAAGAAATTAAAAATACAACTCATATAAATTTGAAATCACATATAAGATTTTATTAAGCTTACTAATTACTGAAGAAACCAGAAGGATGGCTAAGGTCAGTCTGAGATAGTTTGAAGGTCTAGATTCTTATCTAGAATCTTGCATTAAGGAATTTTGCACTAAGGTTAGAGTAAGTGTGAGTTACACTTAAAACACTGGTTAATGATTGACACAGCAGTCTTTGTTATTATCTTTTCTATCAGAAAGTATTTGTATCACTACTAAACAAAAATGTACAGGTTACTATACAAGTTCAATAAATCTGGAAGGCGTAATAGTAAACATCTGAGTAGGTTATAATTTTCCCACATAAATAGTTGTTGGAGTAGTTTGTGATCACAAAACACTGGAAGAACATCCCATCTGTCCTTTTGACTTATTTCAAATTGTAAATAATTTTTACTAATATATTTTAAAATGCTTTGTATTGAGACATTCACTTTAAATTCGTATTAATTAATTTTTGTACAGCTAATGAAAAAGTATCTCCATGTTTAAAATCCCAGAATTTGAGATGCTGAGGCAGGGGCTTTACTTTAAGTTCAAGGTTACATAGTGAGTTTCATGGAAACTCACAAAATCTTGGTTATAGAAAAAAATATGTGTATATGCACACATGTGTGTGTGTGTGCATATGTCTGTGTGTTAGCCAATAGAAAGAAGACAATAGAAAGAATGGAACATGATCTTAGGAGGGGGCAATTATGACAATGATTAGAAAATAAAAAGTACTCATGCGAGGACTTTTTATAGATTGAGCGAACATGAACAGTTCAGTGATAGGCTTTGCACCTAATGCTTTTTAGTCTGTAACATTGAAGAGTTGAGTGTCCTTTGAATGACAGTGGCTGAATTATTAGTTAAAATGTGAAAATCTCAGTTGTCTAACAGAAAACTCTTTGCTTCATGTATTTGATTAGGAGTGCTCCAGTTGTATGCTGGGCCCTGGATACTAACTAGACCTGCCTGACTCCAGGAACTAAGGCTCAGTATCTGCAGAAGCTTTTTGCCCATCTCATTCCGGCTATGGGGACAACATGTCTTCACCCAGGGAGGTTAATCGAAAAACTGGTAGGTTCTCATGTGTTCTTCACCTCGAGGAACTTGGGAATAGGAGCAACTGAAGCTGTGCTTTTCATACTATAGCCATGAATAGGGACTGCCCGTGGCTTTGTTAGCCTGCAGAGGCCAGTTCTCTGACTCTAAGGACAGCCATGTAAAAAGCCATCATATGCACAGTAGTAAGGAGTACACTCAAGTCTGACTTTATCCCTTTCAAATAACATTTTTTTTTTGCTTATCATAAACCAAGTTTATTATACAGAATTTATGAAAACCACACTCCCCTGTAAAACCTCAAAGAAGATAATGAAACTACTAACTTTATCATTAAGCTGTTGTTATTTCTGTTTTTTTTCCCTTAGATATAAACTCGGGGTATGCACATTTCTAAAGGCTTGGTTCATAGTACAGGTGTCACCTGTCTCTCAGCTGGTCCATGCTGTTCATCCTCTAGCCCCAGTCAGTAGCTTGCCATCATTTTTTTCTGTCTTCCCCCTTTCCTTCTCTTTTTCCTCTCCTGGTTTAGTTTTTATGAGGTAGAGTCTTCTATTTAAATAGGCTGGCTCAAACTCACTATGCAATGGCCTGGAATTGTCAGTCCTCCTGCCTCAGCCTCCCAAGTGCTGGGATTATGTACGTGTAGCACCATACAAGCTTTGGCCATTGCTTTTAGAATTCCTGTCTTTTATTCTTTCTGGACTCAACTTCTATCTCCTTTTCTACTGTCTTTGTCCACACTATCCTTCCTTTCTGGGTAGGGGATCCCTCTCTAGCATTGTCGTACACTGTGAGATAAGTATCACAATCAAGCTCATGAAGAGATCCAGTACTTTACATAACTAGCTTTTAGTTTTGGTGTGTAGTAGTAAGAATGGTTAATTCTACACTTGTAGCACATCTCCAGCTACAGTGACAGTATGATTAACTATAGAAATAGTGCTGTCCATTCAACCTTCAGGATTTATTCATTTATGAGAGTAATACATTGTATCCTTTACCAACAATAGCCTACTTGCCTCTGGTAATTGCCATGTGATTCTGTATTATATTTATACTTGAGATAATGCAGTTTTGTCTTTCTGTACCTGGCTTATTTTACTTAGCATAATGTCCTCTAGGTTTATCCATGTTGCTACAAATGGCAGGATTTCCTCTTTTTATGATGACTATTACATGATATTTATATTTATAATATCTTATTTATCTATTTCTTTTTTTGACATGCAGCTAGGTTGGTTTCACATCTTGGCTGCTGAGAGTCATGCAGCAGGGATCAGGGGAATGATGTATTCTTTTAAGATATTCATTCACTTATTTTGAGTACCACATACCTAGCAGTAAGATTTCTGGACTTTCTGATAAGTCTAAGTTTTGCATGGAAACACCATATGTTTCTATAACAGGTGCTTTTCTATATGTACCCTCACAGCTAACAGCATATAATGGAGACTTCTTAGCATCCTTGCCAGCACTTGCTCTCTTCTGACTTTTTGGTAGTAGTAGTCTTAACAGGTGCATGGTCACACTCATGGTGCTTTTGACTTTGATTTTTCTATTGACCACTTACACCTTCACATACATATGATCAACATGTGTATTTCTTTTTTGGATAAATGTTTAGCTCTTTACCCATTTTTGAATCAGGTTGTCTTTCTTCCTTTTGAGATGTCTGAATTCTTTATGCACTTTGGATATTAGCCCTTATCAGAGACGGTTTAAATATCTCCTCATTCTCTAGGTTTCCTCTCTGTTGTTTCTTTTGCTTTGCAGGTACTTTAATTTGATACTTGCATATTTTTGCCTATTACTTTTACTTTCGGTGTCATATTGAAAATCCATTACTCAAACCAGTTTTTTGGTCTAGTGGTTTTATATTCTTGGTCTTATATTTTAAGATATATAAACTTTTATTTATAAATTTTGACTTAGGGATACAGTTTTATTTTTCTGAATATGGATCCCAGTGCCTCTAATATCACTTATAGAGGAGATTAGCCTTTTTAAAAACATTGGTTATCATTCATTGTTTAGAATTTCATTCATGAGCACTATATATTATTTCTACCCCTACCTTTCCCAGTTTCAACTCTTCCTGCATCTGCCTTCTGTCTCAAGTTCATGATCTTACACACACGCACACACATGCACACAGTTTCAGTCAGGGCTTCTGTTGCTGTGGTAAAGCACCATGACCATTGCTTTTGTTGGTGTTACTAGTGCTGTGATAAAACACTGAGATCAAATGAGCTTGGGGAGGAAAGGGTTTATTTAGCTTACACTACCACATAAGAGCTCATCTTCAAAGGAAGTCAGAAGCTCATACCGGGCAGGAACCTGGAGGTAGGAGCTGATACAGAGGTCTTGGAGGGGTGCTGCTTACAGGCTTGCTCCTCATGGCTTGCTCAACCTGCTTTTTTTTTTTATAGAACCCAGGGCTAGCACCACCCGCATCAATCATTAATCAAAAAAATTCCCTATAGGCTTGCCTACAGACCAACCTAGTAGAGGCATTTTTTTTTTCCAATTGGAGTTCTTCTTCCCATATAATTCTAGCTTGTGTCAGGTTGACCAGAAACCCTTTAGGACATACTCAACCAACTAACCTTCTGAGCCCATTTAATCTTGTTTTGTGTACATGTATTCAGGGATGACCACTTGGAGTTAGGTAATCTGTCAGAGACCTCATCCCTGGTGAAGACTGATTCTCCTTTTCTCAGCAGCAATGTTCTTCTTCATCTAAGGCTGGGACTGACATGATGCCAGTTTCATTTAGGCATAAATGGTGTTGAGATTTCATTGATGCAACTATACTGACTTGACTTTCATGTCTATAAGACACTATCTAGCACAAGCTATCCTGATTATCTGGCTCTTACAATCTTTCAACTTCCTCTTCCATAATGTTCTCTGAGCCTTAGGTGTATGGTTGTATTGTACCAACTGGAGCTGGGCAACCTGAATTCACTTATTTTCAGTGTTATAACCAAATGACCAAATGTTGATCTCTGTAGTAGCCCTTATTTGCTGTAAAAAGAAGCTTCTTTGGTGAGGGGTGAGAGCTACACTTAACTGTGAGCATAGGATTCATATTCAGAATAATTAGAAATTGTATTAGTTTAGGAAAATGGCCGTAGCAGCTTCCCCTCTAGTCTTTGGCCTCTCTATCCATGAGTGGTTGGCTAGGTGCACCATGCCCAGCATGAGAAACTACCTTTTTCTTTATTGTCTATACTTAGCCCCTTGAGAAAGATCAGTTGACAGTCAAAATGTGGATTTATTTCTATATTGTATATTTTGTTTTGTTAGCCCATATGTATATTTTTATGCTGGCCCAGCATACTATTTTGATTATCATAGCTATAGCTTTGTAAAGGAAGTTTTCTAAAGCTATACCTTTGAAGTATGATAGATTAGGTTTTTCTTCTTGCTTAAGATTGCTTGGTCTTTTCAGGATCCTTTGTAACTATTGCCTTAGAGGTGCAAGTGAGGCTCTGTGAGTGCAGCTCACTCCTGACTTTGCAGCTCCAGCTCTACAAGTCCTTTGGGTCCCCTTCATACTTAGACAGACTGGGCAGCCACTTCCTTTCTCTTGGTGATTTACTTAGCACATGAATTATTCTCAGCTTTCCCCTTTTAGTGTAGACATGCTATGGACTACATACTGATAATTATAGTTTTTATTGTAAATACACAGGATTAGGAAGCTTGGCATAGGGTGTCTGGATGGTTTTCCTATTGCTGTATCATTTTCCAAATCAGATATAAGCACTTTACCAGAAGTATCCTCTTAAACTCTAAAACCCGCCAGCAGTTGTGGAATCATGGCAAAAATAAATGTTACTAATTTGGTGTAAAATTGCTACACTGAGTTTCTTTTTGCTTTTATTTCTGAGATGTCTAGGATTATTTTGCTGTATTAGCTCAATCTTTTTGGGATATTGTCTTTCTAGTATGTATCCCTGACTGTACTGAAACTCACTGTGTAGAATAGGCTGGCCATAACTCAAGCCATAACTCAAGGAGGTAGTAGATACCTCCTACTTCATGGACTCTGAAATACATAATAATTTTATTTTGTAGCTCTCAATGTGTAGGTTCTATAGGTTGTTTATACTTAAAATTTCCCTGAAGATTATTTTATTTAATAGTATGCCAATTAAGAAAAAGAGAGATTGCTTAGAAATCAGCTTCATAAGTATAATATTAGGAAACAAAATACTCTTTGATGCTGGTTTTTCAAAGCAGGGGGAAGAAATTAATATACAAGATAAACATAAGATGATTTGAAAAGTAGGTGAGTTTCTCTCATATAGCTTGACTTTTCTCACTAGTATTTCAACTTCTGTTAGTGCTTCTCATTTGATCAAATCTTTGTTTCTTTTTGTTCAGACAGAGCTAATGATGAAGATGAGGATGATTCAGATGACCTGAATCGCCGGAAGTTTTTGCCTTCATCAAGTCAGAAAATGACACCTACAAAACCGGTAAAATTAAAAGGGGCAAGCTTTCTGCTATCTGCTGGTGGTAGTTCTTAGACCGCTGATTCAGCTCTTTTAGGAATTAGTATATATTTGCTTTTTCTTACCACAGTTACTTCTTATTTAAAAAGAATACTTTTGATATTCAAAATGACCAAAATAGGAATTGAAAAGATTGGAGGATTTTGTTTTTGCCAAGCTAAAGGAAACTTCTTTCATTGCTATTCTAGAAATTTTACTTGTTTTGACATTCATGCTATTTTGTGTTACTACCAGGTACAAAATAAAAAATCTCATGAAATATGCAGAGCACTTAGATATATTGATGATGTTTCTATTGATAAAAACCATATTGTATAATGTCTTCAAATTATTGAAATGCAAGCTTGTAAGTAATCCTTAGCATACACTATTTTTTTTAGAAGCTGCTTAGGGATTCAGCCAAGATGGGAAGTATATATTTAAGCTTACAGGTGCTTTTGTTCAGGATCCTGCAGGAGGACTAAGGCTTGTATTTCTCTTATAATCCTCCTCTCTCAGCTGGGATCACATGTGTGTAGCATGCCCAGTTACATTTTCTTTTTCTCTTATCCAGTCAACTGGAGCTTGGGGACTTATATGCTGCTGCTTCACTCACTTCTGTCTCCAAGAAGGTACAGCAAGAAAAGTCTGTACCATGAGCAAGCTCTTCACACCTCTGACTAAACTTCTATTTCCACCTAAGACTGGCAAGAGTGCTGCTTCAGAGAATGATGTAGCTTTGTTGTAGTCTCCTGGAGTCTTGTCTACCCTTCTGTTACATGTGTGGTAGACGTGTCAAGGTCATCACCACGTCTGGCTTGGAATCTCTAGCTTAGGGTCATGTTTGCCTGTTAGTCCACAGAATGTTATTTTTTCTTCAATAAAGATGATTTGAAAGTGAGTAACGTCACAGAATGTCCCAAGAAGCTTCCTTTTTATTAGCACATATTAATTATAGAGAGCAATGAGTTTCATTACGACATTTTCATGCATTTGATCACATTCTATCCCTAGGCCTTTTTTCACAAGTTGGAAGCTTAGCTGGGTGGAGTCTTTCTGAGGCACACTTCTCATTGTTTCCGTGCAGTAAGGGTGTCGCCTAAACAAGACTAATCTCCTTAGCAATTACATTCTCTTTCTACTCCATGCCTTGGGGCAGCATTACATTTACTGGTGCTTCTTTTCCCTCTCCAAACTGTACATTTGTATTTTTCTCTGCCCTACCTGCTCTTTTTCTATATAAATGTAGTCACTAATAACCATTCCACAGATTCGATTTTATCTAGAGTGAAATTTCCTTGGTCAAATAGATCAGGCCTTTATTTTTTAATTTAGTCTTAGATGAGGTCTCAGGGAGATGGGCAGAAGACTGCTAGATTCTTTGCCCAGATATCATAGGAGTGTCCTTGAGCCCAGTTGGTCATACAGTTTGTTCCTCTCTGAAACCTCTTGACCTGGTCTTTAAGCTTTGCATTACTCTCAGCATTGCCGTATTTCAGGTTCCTACTAAAACAGCCTGTTAATCTCTGTTTACAGCATTGAACTGTTCTTCTAGTCCAAAGTTTCAAAGTTGTCCACATTCTTCCAAAAACCAACAAGGTCAAGTTCTTCACAGAAACACCCCACTGCTGTATAAGTTACCATTGTGTTGCTGTGATAAAATATTATAGTCAAATGCAACTCTCGGAATTCATTTTGGTGTATAGTTCCAGAAAGATATATGTCCATAATTATGGTAAAGGCAGCAGTGACAGGAAGCCAAGAGATCACTATCAAGTGCGCACACAGGAAGCAAACTGGAAGTGGAGGTGAGGTCATGCTCTTAAAGTCCACTACCAGTGATGTACTTCCTCCAGCAAGGCTCCAAGTTCCAAAAGTTCCTTAACTTTCTCAAACAACAACACTAACTGGGGAGCAAGTGTGCAGATACACGAGCCTATGGGGGCATTTCTCATTCAAGCCACCATACTAGCAACCATTTAACTACTTATAGATCCTCATGGAGTGGTAAGACTTTGTGAAACTCATGTCCCTAGTTCAGGTTAACTAACTTCCTAAACTCCTCAGGGAAGAGTGAGCCTCATTATAACCCCCTCCCATCATGACAGGATACCAAGTGTCCAATCTTGTCATGGACAAGTGGTCATGGGTGCTGTGAGTTCAAGACTGCCATGTCTGTGTCATGTCCAGGAGGCAGTGTTCTACATTACTCCATTTTCTATCTCTTATATTCGTAATGCCTTGTCAACTACAGTGTTTCCCAAGTCACATTGTGATATAAATTCCCATTTATAGCTAACCATTCAACAGTACTTACTCTTAACACTTTGGTCTATTATGAGTCTCTGCTGTTTTAACTGCCTGTTACAAAAAAGAAGCTTCTCAGACCAAACACAGCAGCATATAGGGATAGACTAATATATGGGAATAAACATAGTTATTGAGAAGGTAATTTGATGAACACATTATATACATTTATCAAAACAGTAGATGTAGCTTCCCTACTAGGATCTATGACATTTCTAGCCTCAGGCTTTTGACCATATTTATGAAAATAGGATTTGCTCCCATGGAATAGGCTTTAGTTCTAAGAAAGTAGTTAGCTACCCCCAGAACAGACTTGCCACTATTGTACCAGTGGACAGATACCCTTTCCTGACTAGTCAGAAGTATAGCATGCAGTGTTTGTGGCAGAATTTCCTTAACTTATATTTCATAAGACAGCTTGACACTATAACTACTTGCTTTCCTTTTGAATATGATACTGTCTCTTAGGAATTGTGTTATTTATAGACTTGCAAATTTGAACTGGAAGATTGTTAAATTTTTGCCTGTTTCTCTTTTTAGCTATGAAGAAACTGAGACCTAGGAAGATGAAGTAATGGGCCATGACTATGTGGCTCTTCAGGAGAAGGGAAAAGACTATGCCTCCTAATATAACTATGTACTATGTTCACTTTGTCCAGCAAGGGTATACAGTAAAAAAAAGAAAAACAAACAAACAAAAAAACCAAACAAAAACAGAAAAAAACTTAGGCTCCTCAGAAAAAAAATTAGCCAGACTTTTCTTCAATTTGTTGTTAATTTGATTCTTTGAGCAGTTTCTGAAAGACCTGTTGTCTTAATATATATTGTGTTTCTTCTTGTTATTGGTATTGTTTGTTAATTTCAGTTCATTCAACCAGAGACTTGATAGAGTCTTCAGTTTGAATTGTAGTCATATTGAATAGTTTGCTGAATAGTTTACTGAATTTTGATTGTGAAATCAAAATATTTTAAAAGATTTATTTATTTTGTTTTATGTATATAAGTATTTTACGTGTGTGTGTGTGTGTGTGTGTGTGTGTGTGTGTGTGTGTTCCATGTGCATGCTTTGTATCCATGAATGTCAGAGGATGTTAAATCCCCTAGAGTGGAACTAGAGTTATAAATGGTTGTGAGCTGCCAGATGGGTGCTGGGAACTGAACCTGGGTCGTTTGAAAGAGCAACAGGTGTTCTTAACCCCAAGCTATCTTACCAGCTGCTAGAATAATTTGCCTCTTTAAAAATGTAATTGTATTGATTTTGAAGTATGATTTGAAAAGTGTCTGTGATTTTTATCCCTCTAATTAATTAAGTTCAGTGAGGTCTACCAGTGAGCCAGGTTCAATCCAGAACGTTGCAAGTATCTGAAAGATGAGCAAGCCTTTTCCCTTAGGCAGTGCAGATTTCATGTTGCAGACACATGCAGAATTTCTGAATTTAGATTGTGAAAGTACTAAGTAAAGATAAATGGAGTGCTAAGAACTTTATACTCACAGTAAATAAAATGTCATAAGCACTCAAAGAAATTCTTTTTAGCTTGTAGTAATAACCAACATTTTCCAAACAAAGCCAATTTTTATTGGCTTTAGATAACTTGACTATTCCAAGTATATTATTTGTATTTACGTAGCACTCTGAACTCTCGTTTGGAAAACTGAGGAATGTTTGCTGAGTCAATGTACACTTCAAGTGTCTTTTTGACACTTAATTATGTGACTATGATTTTAATTTTATCATTTAAAATCTTAATACTTGTAAGATTGTACTGTACTAACCATATTTTTAAACTATATTTTCCTAAAGTTGTTCCTATAATTTGTTTTCTTTCTCATGCCAACAGGCTTTTGGGAATAAAGTGAATTCAGAGAATGTAAAATCCGCCCACCATCTGTCATTCTCAAATAAGTATGAGCTTGTTTTTCCAGCGCCTATAGAAAGGTAAAAACAATATGTTTATTTAGTGACTTTTCTGTTTATCCTCTTCATGTTCTTTATACCTGGCCCTTAAAATGGCCATCTCAAAATGGAGATGGTGCTCAATGACCCTTGGTATCTGATTATTTTTTTATGATGCAGTTCTTTCTAAACCTGATTTATCTTTCTTAGGGTAGGATATTAACAAGAAAAAATTATTTCTCAAAAGATTTATTATCTGTATTATCTCAGTAGGTACAAAGCTTTTTTGTAAATGTGTGTAAAGCTCTGGGAGGAGACAGTGCTTTTGAAGTAGCATAAAACTACTTCCTTTAGTGCACACTTAGAGTCCTTAAACAGCTTGTTTGTTTTGGGAAAGAAAAATTTATTTTTAATTAATAGTACTAGTAGAATGGTGAATTCTTAGTACTGTGTCTGAAAAAAAAAGAACCAGAAGAATGTAAATTTATTTCCATTTCAAAACAAAAGGACAAGAGTTTTATAAAACTTGCCTATCAAATGTCCAATTTTAGGTATTATGTATTAAATCAAAACCTGTTTGATTAGACTATGTTTCCAGAGGGATTTACCAATAACATTGACTATATACTCACTAGAATACTACTCTATAGTAATGTAAATATTTTTGCATTTGTGTGTCTGTGTAAAATGTATGTGTATCACATTCACAAGTGCATTGAAGGAACAAAAATATAATGGTGATTCCAAGGTATTTTGAGACCCTATTGTCTGGTGAGCTCTCTCTCTCTATACCTTTGCCATTCAGATCATAGCTTAATTAGGAGGATAGACATAAAAAGACAAATGATTACACAGCAATTATTATATAGTCAAAATGCAAAGACTGTGCTATGGAAAGTTTATAACTATTTACAGAAAGAAGTTTTTCACAAACTTTAAAAAAGATGTATTTAATTTTTAATTATTTGTATCTGCACATGTGTGCATGTGTATGCAGGGGCCCATGGAGACCATAGGTGTCAGATCCTCCGGAGTTGGAATTGCAGGTCGTTGTGGGTACTAGGAAGTAAACTTAGGTCCTCTGCAAGAGCCTTTTAACCACTGAGCCATCTCTCCAGCCCCTCATAAGCTTTTTTGACAAAGATAATTCTGGATTTAGAATTTAAGTAAATAGAAACCTAGCAGATGAAGAGAGGGGAGAAAATTTCAGGTGGGAGAGATGTTTGAGAAAAGTAAGGGCTTGTGAAGACATCTTATTAATGGCAAGAATACGTGTCAAGAATGAAATGGTATTATATGAGTTGGGATGAAGGAAAGCTGGAGAAGAGGAGAATTAAAATGCAAGATACAGTGTACGCTAGAGTCAAGGGACTTAGGATGTGTGGATCTAAGACTGTCTAGTTTTTTGTCTATTAAAATTAAAATGAAGCACAGTTAGATTTCCAGGTTCACTCCTTAGACAGTCTGTCTATCCTCCATCCTATACTTTCAGCCAGCCCTTACTTTGAAAGTTACTGAAGGAAAATTGAGGATGGTTTAGAATAGTAGGTAATGCACATCAGTAATATGTTTACAGTGGTTTCAAAAAATGAAGAGGAAATAGTAAAAAAAAAAAATTCCATGAAAAAGACATGGTTAAAGCATCAAATACATATAAAAGATCAGTAGAAATGATGGTGGAAATAAGCAGCTGCAATATTGTTTGTGTGCAACAAAGAGTCTTTTCTGTATGGCCTTGCAATCATAGTGAATTTTAGGAAGAATTTTTTCTAGACATTGAAAATTAAGTCCAGACATCAAATGAGGAAGATTGGCTAAGTGAGATTGCAAACAAAAGTGCAAGAGCCATGTCCATAGACTAAGTCACCTGAAGAGTGGGAAGTTGGAGAGGGAACAGGAAGTGAGTATAGTCAGCTTTAAAAGCTTGTTAATAGTTGTCAGCCTGACAGATGGAGAATTGAATTTAGGATATGAGAGAAAATGTAGATAATGAGTTACTGAAAAACAGACAAGTCATAGTTGGATTAATTCTGAACAGGGAGCAGGTATGAAGTGATGAAGAAGTTGGTAATCTATTTGTTTTCAAAGAGTAAATCCTGGTTTACTTCTAGGAGTAGGGATTGCTTTTTAGGAAGGAAGGTGATTACATAGGACTACAAGAGGGCAGTGGTTGCAGTGAGCTAACCACGGTTGTGTGGGGAGAGTTGTCTAAGGACAGAGCAGTGGCTTCTAACTTGGCCTACCATTACTTCTTGTTGCCTAGGTAAGGGAGAAGAGAGGATGGGTAGGTGGACTGGTCACAGGGTTTGCCAGCCCTGTGCAGGAGGATATGCAGTTTGTGATCAGGTGTTAAGTTTAGCGTTACCCTAGAGGTTATTAGAGGTTCTTCTCTAAGTGTATGTGTTATATATTTTTCTAAATCTCATGGATGTTTTTCTTCTAGTAACAGTGATGAGACAATGTGGGATGTCAGTGACTTGTCCCACAGAAGCAGGTGGAGCAGTGTGGATACGGAGTCTGCAGGGCCGTCAAAGACTGTCTCCCCAGTGCTTTCTGGTAGTAGTAAGCTCTCAAAGGGTATGCACAAAGATTTCTTTTAAATAAGAAATGAAAGAAAAAGATATGGAAAAAATTAAATGTGAAAATAAATTTTGAAGGGTTTATACATTTTTCTTAATTAAGTTTTTTTTTCAATTAATTTTTAAAAGTATTTAAAATAATGGGTTTCATTAAGGGATTTTCATGTTTTTATACCAGCCTGCCTGTTGCTGGAATTTCCAACCCCAATAAGCCCATATAAAAGCATATTATAAAAGCTCATATAAAAGCAGTTATTATAATCATAAGCTATATGCCTAGATTTGGCAGACCTAACTTATCCCCAGCTATAAGACCCCTTGTTACTTGTTGTGGTTTCTCCTGGTTCTGGTCCACTGTGTCTTCCTCCTCTTCTTCCTCTGTCCTCTCTCCTTACCCTCTCGTCCTCTTCTCCCCATCTACCTGTCCCCACTCTCAAACCTCCAGTCCCACTTTTCCCCTCCACTGCCCAATCACCGCTTCTAGCCTTTATTGACCAGTTAAAATGGGGAGAAGGGAAATGAGATCACCTGAGTATGTGATAGACTGATTGTAGGGGCATCTCCTCTTGAGGAAGCCGAATTAACATCAGAGTATAAACAGCATTGGGCCAACCCACAACACCTCCCTATTGTCCTCCCCACTTCCCTTGAAACCACTTGGCTGATCCCCCTTCCTCCTTCACCAATAGTCCTGGTTCTGCTTTCAAGCCATAGCTGTTCTGTTACCTCATCTACCTCTCAAGATCTCTGCTTCCCTGTTTCATGACCTATATATACATACTTTAAAAATAAATGCAATAGCACTTCATATTTATGAGATCAATTTCTACCCTTCAATCCATTTTATTTCCTCCCACTCCACCCCCATCTCTCTCATAGGTTTTTGGCAGTGAGAGAAGGTTTCTTGTCCCCACTCAGTGATAGATTTGTAACAGCGTTGGCCCATTGTAACAGTGGGCCCAGCACTATTTCTTGCCCATACACTTGGAGTACAGTCTTAGTTGGACCCTCTTCCTATCTGCAGATGGTTTTCAGTTTGCTACAATAATAGTTGCTGTAATTCTGTCTATTGTTAAGACTTTGGTTTTTGTGGGGAGCTAGATCCTACTCAAGCATTATGCATTTTCCATGGTGGTAATAGCTCCCCTCTTCTAAGCTTGTACTACTTGGGAAATGATCCTTTCCATTCCCTCATGTACTCCCAGGTCTTCTAATGAGTACCCGTTAGATATCTGGGACATTGAGTTCGACTGTGCTCTTGACTTCTTAGGATTTTGTATTGTCACACTGGCCCATATCATAATTGTCAATGTCCATCCAAGTGTTTCCTTCCAATGTGTACAGTTCTTGGTTTCTTTCTTTCCCACTAGTTACTATAAGTGAGATAATGTTCCAATTCTTGGCACTTTTTAGAGGACTCAGTCTTAGACTTCAGATCCTTCAGCTGACCTGCTCTCAACTGTCTGATAGTTCAGCAAAAGGATAATTTAGTGGGCTTAGCAACTTGTATATATAATTAGGACTTGAATGATATTAATAATAGCTTTCTATATCTTAAAAAGTAGAACTTTTAATATACATATATTTGTAGAATATGAATACATTCCTTTGTAAACATCGTTTTCAAAACAAATAGCTTTGCACATTAGTTTTTTTCAGCCTTGAAAAATAATAATACCCAATGTATGACTGTACCATAATCTATGTTATTGATTTCTCATTGGATATATAGATGTGATAATTATTATTGGGGCTGAGGCTTTAGGAATAGTCTTAGATTAAATTTGAAAATGAAAAGGTGTTACTCAGATTTGTACTACTGTAGCAACAGTACAAACCCACAAACTCAGTTTAGTTCCTAAACAAGCACAAGAGATCCAGAATAAGAATAAGGTATCCAGAAGTTCTAAAGGAAAGGGTGATATTGTGAGCCATAGAAAAAGCACACACTTCCATGCTCTGTATCTGGGACTGTTCTTATTAGTTTTGCCATCATTTAGACATAATGACCTTTTTTGCTTTATTATGAACTCTTAAGTGACAGCTCATGTTTGTGGGGCATGAAAATTGCTTCTTTCCACAAAGGACTTTCATGGCTGATTCTCAGCATACCAAGAGATACTTGAGAGAAATATCTTATTTCTAAGTACTTGCCTTTTCAGTTTCAGTATAGGACTAAGATTAGACTCTTCCAAGAGTTGACTATTAGGGGCCTTAATGACAAAGAATTAACATCCTCAAATGTGAAGATTTATATGTTAACACATAAAGGACAACCAGTAGACACTGACAGGCACATTACAGAAAAGATGTTTTATTTTATTTTTTTATAATTTTTTATTGGATATTTTATTTACATTTCATATGTTGTCTCCTTACCCCATCCCCCACCCACCCGGGAACCCCCTATCCTCTTACCCCTCCTCCTTCTTCTCTGTGGATGTAACCCCTACCTACCCCCCACTTTCCAACCCTCAAAATTCCCACCCCCTGGGGCGTCCAGGCTTCATGAGGTCAAGGATCTCATCTTCCACCTATGCCCAGCAGGGCCCTCCACTCTTACGTATTCAGCTGAAGCCCTGGATCCCTCCCTAAGTGCTCCCAGACTGGTAGTTTAGACCCTGGGAGCTGTGGTTGGTTGGTATTGTTGCTCAGCTCATGGTGCCACAAACCCTTTCAGCTCTTTCAGTCCTCACTCTAACTCCTCCATTGAGAACCCCATGATCAGTTCAATGGCTAGTTGTGAGCATCTGCCTCTGAATATGTCAGACTCTTGAAGGCCTCTGAGGAGACATCCATATCAGGCTCTTATCAGCATGCACTTCCTGACTTCCACATCAGCATCTACCTTTGGTGACTGCACATGGGATGGATACTCATGTGGAAAGGTCTTCAAATGGCCCCTCCTTCAGTTTCTGTCCCTCACTTTGTCTCCATATTTGCTCCCTTGAGTATTTTGTTGCTCCTTCTAAGAAGAACTGAATCACCCTCACTTGGTCTTCCTTCTTTATGAGCTTCATGTGGCTTGTGAGTTGCATCTTGGGCATTTCAAGGTTCTGGGCTAATATCCGATAATCAGTGAGTGAATACCATGTGTGTTCTTTTGTGATTGGCTTACTTCACTCAGGATGATGATTTCTAGTTCCATCCATTTACCTAGGAAACTCTCGAATTCACTTATTTTAATAGCTAAGTAATACTCCATTGTGTAAATATACCACATTTTTTTGAATCCATTCCTCAGTTGAAGGACATCTGGGTTCTTTCCAGCTCCTGGCTATTATAAATAAGGCTGCTATGAACATAGTTGAGCATATGTCCTTGTTATATGTTCCAGCATTTTCTGGGTATATGCCTAGGAGTGGTATAGCTGGATCCTCAGGTAATGCTATGTCCAATTTTCTGAGGAACCGCCACACTGATTTCCAAAGTGGTTGCACCATCTTGCAGTCCCACCAACAATGGAGGAGTGTTCCTCTTTCTCCACACCCTCGCCAACATCTACTATCACCTGAGTTCTTAATCTTAGCCATTCTGACTGGTGTGAGATGGAATCTCAGAGTTGTTTTGATTTGCATTTCCCTGATGACTCAGGACACTGAACATTTCTTTAGGTGCTTCTCAGCCATTCGAGTTTCTTCCATTGAAAATTCTTTGTTAAGCTCTATACCCCATTTTTTAATAGGGTTATTTGGTTGTCTGGAGTCTAATTTCTTGAGTTCTTTGTATATATTGGATATTAGCCCTCTATCAGATGTAGGATTGGTAAAGATCTTTTCCCAATTTGTTGGTTGTTGTTTTGTCCTATTGGCAGTGTCCTTTGCCTTACAGAAACTTTGCAATTTTATGAAGTCCCGTTTGTCAATTCTTGATCTTAGAGCATATGCCATTGGAGTTCTGTTCAGGAACTTTTCCCCTGTGCCCAAGTATTCGAGGCTCTTCCCCACCTTCTCTTCTATTAGTTTCATTGTATCTGGTTTTATGTGGAGGTCCTTTATCCACTTAGACTTGAGCTTTGTACAAGGAGATGAGAATGGATCAATTTTCATTCTTCTACATGTTGTCCTCCAGTTGAACCAGCACCATTTGTTGAAAATGCTGTCCTTTTTCCACTGGACAGTTTTAGCTCCTTTGTCAAAGATCAAGTGACCATAGGAGTGTGGGTTCATTTCTGGGTCTTCAATTCTATTCCATTGATCTTCCTGCCTGTCTCTGTACCAATACCAGGTAGTTTTTATCACTATTGCTCTGTAGTACAGCTAGGTGAATTTTGGGAAAGTGTAGGAAAATTGGAAAAATTGATTAAGACTTAAGAAAGCTAGCTTTAGCATTTGTTCTCCAGTCTCTCTATGCTTAAAATTTCAGGGCTTGACTGACGTTCTGTCTGGATCTGTCTGAAAGGCCGGATGAACCTAGGTCATCAGAAATCACCATGTATTCCTGCACCTGTTCTGGAGGCAAGTCTCTGGAAGCAGTGTCAGGTGAGGCAGAATCAGGCAGGGAGCTGGAACAGCAGGTCCCTGAGGATGAATCTTGCCAGAGCTTCATCTTGGTGTTTTATTCTGCAATATAAATCTTACAACCAAATTTTTATTACTATAAATATATTTATATAGATTTTACAAGATCTGTTAAGGATGAATTTTTTGCTCTTTTTTAAGCAGGTGAAAGACAACTGTCTTTTTTATGAGTTAATTTGATCAATAACCAATAGTAATAAATCTTCATTCATGCCATGTGAAGAATGAATCTTAAGGATTCTGTAACCAACAAGGTAATTTTATTGGTAATTTTAGTTGAAGTTTTTGCTTGAGACATTTTTATGTCTAAGCCAGTTTCAGGGCTGTTCCCATGTGGAAGAATCAGCAAATCCTGTTACCTGCCCTGTTTGGTCTTCTTGAAATTTTTTTCTTGTCTGTAGCCAAGATCTTCAGGGGGTCTTCCCCATCATATCTGGTCCATATCACTTTGGAAAGGGTCCAA